GCAGTGCTCAGATTCTTAAATCTCCAGTGTATCCCTGTAGTGAGCTCTACTGAAAATCTTTGTAGTTTTAGTTCTTTGTACCTCAATAAGCAACAGCATCCGTATTATTCTGTGCCAGATTTCTACTCCATTAGCCATTCATCCACAGGCATTTAAATGATGGAGATTCGGTATCCTCACTGTAAAATAGGTTCTTGAGGGTATTGTGAAGATACTTTGATCTTGAACTATGAGGATTAAATGAGATAATACAGGAAAAGTCCTCAGTAGACGTTGTTATTGTTTTTACTCTTCTCCACTTGATCCTAATATGTCCCTTGAGAAGATAAGCAAAATTACTCAATGCATCCAGGTCAGCAGTGATTAGGAAATCAGGACTCTGCAGCTGGAATTTAGAATAATCACACATATTATCCTTTCTTCTTATTGTCCCCAACTGAATCCATTCCCTAGGAGCAGAAAACTTTCAGGATCATTATTTCATAAACATTACTAGCCAGGTTCTTTTGCTTGTTTTAATTTCTTTAATCACATTTATTTAGTCAATTTTATAAATGATTAAAACTTGGTTGTGCTGATACAGGGCATGAAAAATCTCCTCCCCACCTTTTATTTTTTTATACCTAAGGTGTTGCTAGGAAATGATGATGTGATAGCAAAGAATCAAATAATGCTGACGAAAAAGCTATCCTGGAAAGCCCAGGGGACAGGATGAACAAACATGCTGAAAAGGATCATGCTGGGGACCTTTGGGACATGATGTAGCTCATCATCAGGGGATGACAATAATTCTACACAGGGAGCCCTGGTTATCCAACTTCCCACAGTTTCCAGGGTGCATAGGGATATAAAAGTCATCATAACATGAAAATATTCATGAATTGGCTGTTTTAATAAACATTCCCCAATCCTGGCTTCTCTCTGTATCTATTAAATCAACATCTTTGGAATCTCACTGATGTGGGAGATTTAAAACCCTTCTTTAATGTAACACAAATAAAACACAAGTAGGTTGGAAGTGAAATTGCAAAGCTTGCAAAAGATGCAGGATTAACTAAGTCAGAGAGAGTGATATTGAATATCTGAAATACACACCAGGCCACTAGCACACTTGGAACAGTTAATTTCAGAAACATATTAATAAAGATGGTGACATGGTGGATGCTTCACAAAAGAATGATCTGACTACTAAAGAATACAGAGAGGACTTTGGATAAGTTGATAAAGCCCAAGAACATTTTTTTTTTCAAAACAGATTCTCTCTTACTATGTACTATAAAGTCAAACACAGAATGAAGGCTGTCATGTAGTATGAGTATATAGTTGTGTTGAAATAAATGTTGGCCAATTCATCCCAAAGAGCTAACCTAAGTTTTATTAAATATAGACATTCATAGACTTATTTTCATAATTTCATTTTGATTTTTCAAGACAAATTCCAACTAGGTGATTTCTTTCCTTTGATTTTTTTTTTTTTTTTTTTTGCTATTTACTATAAAAACATGGTTCCAAGTTTTTACTGGCTTCTTCTTTTTCTTCATTCCTCTCTTGAATATTCATAGATAATGAGGCTTTCTGGTACATATAATCATACATTTTCTCATGGAGCATACTTAGAGACATTACAAATTAAACTTACGTGCTAACTGAATGTAGTCCAAAAAAACCAGTTCTCTCCTCTTTTCCAAGTTCAGCTGTTGAATTTCGTGAACTAAAGAGACATGACTGCAGTTTGAGCAACTACCACATGCCAAGCAGTTTACATGCTTAACTATTAAAACTTACAACAACTCTGCAAAGTTGGTACAATTATGCCTATTTCAAAAATAGGAAAATGGCTACATAGGTTAAGTAATATTCAATGATTCACAGAACAAGTAACCAATAGAAAAAGGATTATAATCCGCAACCCTACTCGTCACCAATCTTCACAAGAAAGCAGCAGTTTCTTGGGCAGGCTGCACAGCCTGTCAGGAAGATAGATAATCCCCAGTTCCAACACAGATCCAGGCATTCTGTTCCACTAAAGCTGCCATAGGCATCTGAAGCAATGGTATGCCTTCTGATGCATTTAACTTGTTGTGGGATATTCTTTCACTGGAAAGGCTGGCCATGTTAAAAAGCACTTAGATCTCTATGAGCCAAAAGTAATTCTAACATCAAAATTTTCACAGAATCCAAAAATGAATGGTGGAAAAGTGGTTTCAGGTGCTTCCTGGAATAATGCTTTCCTACACCTGCATAGATGAACCCAACCACAAGTGCAGATAACTAACACTGACTACATAAGGAGTTCTTAAAATCCAGCAGGTTCTCTGAGCTGTAGAGTGTTCCCTACCCAGAAATCCTTGCAGCATGAGATCCTCCTTTTCAGAAGTTGAAGGTATTATTATGTGTGGCTGAAGGCACTATTATTTCTGTTCATGTTGGAGAACAAAATCTTTATCTCTAACCCTACAGATCCATGGACTGCTTACCACTTAGCTTTTAAAGACCTATTACCCTCTATTTTTCCAATTAAAAATAAAACAAATACAACTCTGTACTAGGAACTATTGTATTTCTCTCGTGCTCTCTTATAAAATGAAATTGTTCACTGATTCATTAAGCCTTCTGAAGAAAGGCATAACAGATCTACCAATTATATTTGTTTTATTCGACGTCTAAAAATTTCATGTTTCTTATGATATTAAGACATTAGAAGTGAAACCTACTCAAAAAGGTAAATGGTCTAACATTATTTTTATAGTTTAAATCTAATATTTATAGGATATAGACTTAACATGATTTAACAAGTTATTTTGAGCTTAAATTATTTGTTTTAAATATGACCAATTTTGGGGGGAACTGTTTTTATTTGAATACAATTATCATATCTACCATATGGAATTTTTTTTAAATCTAGACAACTATGAATTAACAATTGTTCTCTAGGAACTGGATAATTTTTAAAACATTAAATCATTACAAATCCAAGAATCAAACTTAAAAAAACTATGTGATTTGTTTCAGAGAAGATACAAATTCTCAGCCTTAGATTACCTTACTTCTTATTACATATATTCAGAAGTTTCTCTTGAGTTCAAAAGTTCACAGTAACAATTTATAAGGGTATTAGCTCTGAAGCAAGCCAGAGGGAAAGCACTGCTTTTAATCAACACGCACCAACAATCCTGACGCAGCAGCAGATCTCGCCTATCCGGTATGATATAGGGTGCTGCAAATCCATACACTGTCAAGACACTTTCAGAAAACACAATTTTTTTTTCACAAGTAAATTCAGAAATATAGCACACGTAACAACTCACAGGCAAAGGCATTCCATATTTCTAGCTTTGAGGAACTGTAGCCTCAGTGAGGGTTAGCAAAAATCTTGTGAAATACATTCTAGAGATAAAGGAAGAAAATGGTTTATTGTGCTAAACAGAGACAAGGGGGGGAAATGGGCCTTTCTCCTGGAAGCAAGATAAAGACTGTATTTGAAGGATGTAGTTCCCAAAGTGAGGCTCTAAGAAGGTGAAAGGTGGTATTAGTAAGAGGGGATTACATTACAATTTAAACATTCCCCCAGTTTCCTGTCATATATTTAGAGACAAATTTTAATTTCTTTAATCCTAAATTTAAGTCTATTTTAGGAATGTGAAAGGATTGACAACAAACATTGAAGGGACAACAGTAATTCTTCCTGAAAAAATACAAAACTCCTCTTCTTTCACTCACTCATTCACTCCATTCAATATCTATTGAGCACCACACGTCAGATGTGGATGTTGGACTTTCAACAGCTAACAAACCAAACAGGATTTCTGCCCTGGAGAATGCGTGTTTCAATGCAGCCCTGTTCAACAGAACTCTCTGGCTTATGGAAACATTCTGTACATGTGCTGTCCAATATAGTAGCAGCTAGCCATCCAATGACTGAGCATTTAAATGTGGGCTAGTGCAATCAAGGAACTGAATTTTAAATTTTATTTCACTTGAATTTATTATATTTTATTTATATTATTTTTACTTTTTTTTTTTTTGTACTGAGGATTAAACTCGGGGGTATTTGATTACTGAGCTACGTCCCCAGCTGTTTCTACTTTTTATTTTGAGACAGGGTTCTCACTAAAATGCTTAGGGTTTCACTAAGTTGATGAGGCTGTGCTGGAACTGGCAATCCTCCTGCGTCAGCTTCCTGAGTCCCTGGGATCACAGGCAGAGCCGCTGTACCCAGCTATTTTATTACATTTAAATTCAAGTAACCACATATGGATAGTGGCTGCCATGCTGGATAGCACAATTTTAGTGGATTAATCAGACAATAAATAAGTAAATCACTAGATAAAGTCTTTTCAGGACTGGATAAGTGCACTAAGGGGGAAAAAAGTTTGAAGGAGACAGGAATCCTGGGTTCTCTTAAGTATGATGAGTCAAGAAAGGCTAAGTTTATAAGGAAGTACGTTATAGAAGAAACTTAATTGATGAAATAGAACATTCTGGAAAATATGTGGGGGAAGATTATTCCAGTTAGAGAGCATTGCGAGGTCAATAGCCCTAAAGATTTCAAGGAGTGAGCTCAGCAGAGTCACACAGCAAGCCCACAGTGCAAGGGAATGGGACAATAGCAAGAACAAGAGAAAGGCAGAGATATAATTCTGCAGGGCCTTATGGCCATGAGAAGGAGTTTGGAACTTATTCTTATGTAGAGAGAAGCCAAGTGAATGGTTTAAAAACTGAAAGAGTATAAAGTTTATTTATATTTAATAAGATTGGACCCAACATGGAGTTAGGTAAAAACAAGCCTGGAAGACAGGGAGAATAGAATCAGTGGCCCACTAGAAGGGTACTGCATTAGTCCAGGCCTGGTGCTCCAGGGGCTTGTGTAGAGCAATACCAGTGGTCAGATGATGAATGTGTTATGAGGGTACAGCCATCAGGCTTTGGTGATGGATGACATGTGGTGAGTACATGGTGAGTACATACGTGTAGTGAGGAAGAAAAAAAAGGAGTTGAGTATGAGTCCAAGGTTGGCTGTAGGGCTTATCCCACCACCACCACCACCACCACCACCACCACCACCAGATACTGGGGAAGAGACTGAACTTGGAAGAAAGAAGGGAAAAAGTGCCCCAATTTCCAGAAGCAGTCTAACCAACCGTACAAGTCCTTATAAATATGTTAGGAAGCACTTCAGCATACATGTGTACGGGTGTGTTTTGTAAGTAAACAAAGTTTTAAGTAAAATGTGCCCAATTACTTTAGTCTGATCAAGAAGAATTCTTTAACTTTAAGCACTTAAACTATGTAATGGCCCTCTAAAAAGGAAGTCGACTCTTGCAACACTGTTTTGTTGCCAAGCTACCCTTCAGCCTAGTATTGGACACAATCTACACGTATTTAAACATGCATAAATGACATCCACCTTCAAAAACAGTTACTCTAAACCATAACCAAATGTGTCTAAAAGCATTTGGATACAGACCACTTCATTCTCTCATTACAAATGTTGGTTTCCAGTGTTTAACCTTGGCCTTGACAACATATTTCCTGACAAATTCACTGGCAGAAAAATCCTTCAAGAACTTCACAGGTACAGAATGTCACTGCATGTATGCATTTATCCTCAATTCAAATACATGAGGAAAAGGAGGAAGAAAAGAAAGCAAGTGACAGGGTTGGAAGCTCAACTTGCTATTCCTCACAAAGAGTCTAGGCCTGATACTGAACATGGGAGTTGAGACAGAAAATGAACGGTTACCTCTCTGTTGATTTGGTTCTCGTTTATTTTATGCTGAGGATCTTCCCCTGCCAGGGGCTTTTCTAATGTTTTAAGAAATGTACTTTATTCTGCAACCTACCTGGCCCTATCTCATTAGATGCTCAAAGTGATGTTTCCAACACTAGGGGAAACCTCGTGTTTTGAACACTAGGTTTTGTTTGAACTCAGACAGCACTGAGTTCATAGGAAGGTGGATTTTATGAGCAATTTAATAGGATTTCAAGGATCATTTTGACTAAACATGATTATTTGCCTCATATATTGATCTTATAACTAATCACCTTAAAAGTGGGAGTTCCCTGTGTACCATTATTGGCACAGAGTTGCTTCAGCTTTACTTAGAAAGAAGATGATAAAGAAACTTATATTACTAATGTTTCAGTTTGAAAAAAGCTGAAAATCAAGCTATTTCATGTGGGTTTTTTTTTGGGGGGGGGAGGTGGATGTCATCTTACATGTGAAGGACATTAATACAAGCAAAAGAGAATATGAAAATTTCAAGGGATCTTAACCTGCTTAAAATCTAAGTTGAGCTTGTTAGATGTTTGTTTATATAACCTATGGATAAGAAACAGGAACATCTGTACATGGAATTTGCTTACCTCCCTAGAAATGTCCATGGTATGAAGCTGAGCTCTTGAACAAAGAACATGTACGCCCTTACACATGAACTCTTTTTTCCTACTAAAGATTATATGATCTCAAAGCCTAAACATTCTTTTGGAACATAAAACCAGAATTTATATCCTGGCACTTGCAGATTTGGGAGTTATGCCTAGAAAAACAAACATGTTTTCTTTAATTAGTCCTAAAGGAAAAGAAATACAACTAGAAATTAATATTATAGGTTTTAAAATGCATTAGAAAACATGGCTTATATATGTGAAGGAAATCTGAATTTGTACTAGGCAATCCAAATACACTGTCTGAATAAAAAGTATAAAAATAAATAAAGGGCTCAGTTGATCTGCTTTTCAAGGGATGTTTCATTTACTGTTTTTGATTAGTTTGTGTTTTTTTGCTCATGTTTAAAACTCCTATTAGGCTGATCATTGAAAATATCATATAACCCGAGTCCCATAATATTAACATGATGACTTCATGGAGATAGCTGCTCCAAGACAATCACCTCAGTCAGGGCAACTTTTCTTTCAATTGCCTTTGTTGAAAAGTTGCATAAACATCCCAAAGTCAGTTAATTCTTTCCATGGGCTTTAAGCCTCATTGACATGCAGATGAGAGTCTGATCAAATGACAAGTCTGGGAGCCAAGTGATGTGGCTGAGTCTCCCTGCATAGAAACGATGGGCACTGCAGCCTGCAAGCCCAGAGGAGCACTCATCAAGGTCTGTGCTCTCATCACAGCCCTTCTGAAAGACCAAGGTCTCTCATAAAGCGTATCGAACTACGCTCAGTTCTCCAAACATTCTTCCCTTGAACAAAATGAAGCATGCAACAAGCAGAAAAAGAAAGGAAATCTTAGTATGTGCCTTAATAAAATGAAATATTTGGCTTTCCGAATCAGGATATTAATGTGAACCAAGGAAGTGCAACCTCAAATGTCTTCTGGGGAAGGACAGGTCATATAAATGAGTTGGTTGGAAGACCTGAATTCTAAATTCCATGAGCTCAGGGTCTAGCTGGGTCAGTCTAATTCCCAATATATTCTGGTGTGCTGTACCATGTCAGGGATGTGGTATGTGCTCAATATACATGTATTACATGAATTCATAAATGTTGTCATCGAGTAGCTGTGTAATTTTCAGCTAATCACAGTCGCTGGGGAGCTCTCTTTTCCTCACTTTTGCAATGTGGTGGGTAGGTTAGGCCTATGGTTTTCAGACTGCTTTACCCTGACTCTGTCCCCATCTTGGGCCTTGCCATAAGCCCTGTGTAAATGACAGCAGCTGTCTTCCCCCCCCCCCACTCTTATAACTGTTAGTATTTTAAGCTGTCTGTTGAAAGGTAGTCAGTCCCTAATTGTATAGCTTAATGAATTTTCACAAACTGAAGCGTTCTCCTTCCTGCCCCATTTTAATCACCATCCCTCATCTTCTGAACCACATAGAGGAAACCCAATGCTGAATCCCAAAACGACTTGCCTCGTTAACTTTATATAAACAGAGTCACAGAGATATGCTCTTGTGCCTTCTTTCCTTTTTGTTCAACATGTTTGGGAGATTCGTACTGTTATATGTAATTATTGTTTCCTCTAGCTCTAAATTTCTGCTGATGCTAATTACTAATAAATAAGAATAAATCAGAAAAAAAGATAAGAAATAATACTTTTTTATCAATAAATAAGGAAAAAAAATACTTTTGAAAACATCCAAGGCAATATAATGGGTCATATTAATAAAAAGAACCATTTCTAGACTAGGTGAGATCGTCTTAATCTATATGTGTAGTAAAGTTTCTCCTATGTAGACTGGGTTCAGTACCCACTGGTGGTAGCTGGTGATGACTCCAGAGCTGTTCTAAAGTTTCTTCAAGAGTTCATAGTTTTAATGAAATGCTTGGTTACAGCCATGGCACATCAACTGTGAGTATCCAAAAATTTACCTCTGAAACAAGGTGGTTTCAAGTAGCCTATAAGTCATTTGCATGAAATAACAAAAAATAAACATGTGTTCAAACAAATGAACTAATAGAAGGAATCCAAGATTATCTTCCAATGTTGTGTCATTTGCCCACACAATTAAAGTCCCCCTCCCTTTGGCTTGTAACTGTGAGGTTTAAAAATCTGATTCTTTTTACAAGGTTCAACAAGGTTCAAAGAAGACAAGGAATATCTTAAATTTTACATAGGTTAAAAAAAAAAAGCAGACAAACAAAAATTAAAATCCTTGAAGAACTTTTTTTGTAGTGGGGAACTATTTTCCCATGCCTACATGAAACCAATTTTTTTAAGGTTTCTAATGAAGATTTATGATACAACAGAATAATGCAAATAAAAAAATCACTGGAATCTCACATTTGCCATTTTTTTTTCTTCAGCAAGGGATATAGAAAATACAGTAACATAGAGTAGATAACTTAGCCAAAGAAGGGAATTTCAACCCTGTGAATAGGAGTTCAATAGAAATTCCAGCAATATACAAGAAGCTGTTAAAGCTATTTTTTCAAAGAAGGTTTAATAATAATGTAGAGTTCTGAAAATCACCGGAAGCCTTGTAAAGACTTTGAGATCATTGCGAAAGGAGTGGTGTTATCTTTGATGATAAATGTAGAACTGATAACATAAGGAATTAATTTTCTGGGAGGGTCTGGATGAAATCTGATAAGACAAGCAGAGATGGTAAGTGACTTTCACTGAAAATACCACACTAGCCAATTTAATCCATTTGTGAAAACACCATTTACAAACACTAAGCATCCAAGATTTTGGAAATTGCACTTGCTGGTCATTGTTAAGCCCTGTTGCTTTCAAGACAGCAATTAGATGAATCAGACATGGCCTGCCTCCTACAGGGCATGAGAGGGTGAGATCAGAGCGCCCTGCTTTGCCTGCTTTTTGGAAGACCAGAGGTCATCGTCGCTGACAGAGCTCTCCTTCTGAGAAGGCCATCATCTGGTCTTCTGGTATACAGCTGACACACTGTATACAAACTCATTTGGTTTAGGTTTGAGTTGGCCAAGTTTGCTAAGCAGCCAGCCTTCCTCATGAGGTCAGCACAAACATCCCAGTTACAGCTGGAACCAAACACAGACTATGTTGCATGCTGTTGATTAGTGCCCTTATTGAGGCCTGTCTGGGTCCTAATGACATTAAATGCAAAACGAAAAAAAAGCTGCTCACTGGCTATGCTAAGTATACAACCTCTACAGAAGAAACATGTCTTTAATCAGTTCATAGTCTTAATATTCCTCTGCAAATTCCTTATTTGTAAGCACATCAATTAGAGAAAGAAGACATAAAATGAGGAGAAAAAAATGTTACAAAAAATAATTTAGGGCAGAGAAAGACTGAAAATGGGTACCAAGTTCATATGTAACAGAACATAAACCATAAACATAATGGTCTTTAGGACAAAAGAAAGCCATCAGCAAGAAAAAAATACTGGAGATCTTAGTTGTCACACGATCTTTAGTGTTGGCTTAAGCCTCTTTCTAAAGAAACCCTTTAGCCAGGCACAGTGGTACCCACTTGTAATCCCAGCCACAGGAGACTGAGGCAGGAGGATTGCAAGTTCAAAGCTAGCCTCAGCAACTTAGCAAGACCCTGAGCAACTAGTGAGACCCAGTATCAAAATAAAAATTAAAAAGGGCTAGGGATGAAGCTCACTGGTTAAATGCCTGAGTCCTATCCCTGGTAAAAAATAAAACAACAACAACAACAAAAAGATAAGACCCTCCCCATCCCATCTCATCCTGGCTCT